ATAATGTTCTAAAGTTTGTTTTTCTAACAGTGTTGTTCAAGTTTTTGCACAAGCGAATAAGTTGACCTTTCAGTTTGATCTTTTTTTTTAATTATTCAGCCAAATAGTTTTTTCGTTTTATAATCTACTAACTGTCGTCCGCGACTCCGTCCGCGAGAATTAAAAAAAAAACATAATTATTTAGTTGCCATGTCTTCTTCCAGACTATATTCTATATGTATGCCACATTTCATCGAGATCCGTATTCGTATTCTGTCCGAATTAGTGTATTTTAATACGGCTTTAGCATTTTTATAACACAGGTATTTACAACTTCACGTCAGCTGAATTAAAAAAAAACGATACTTAGTAACTTTCGTAGGCTAGAACACATGTTCTTCCAGACTTTGTTCTATATCTACGCCAAATTTCATCGAGATCCATGCAGGCGTTCTGGAGATACCTTCAAATAAACATCCATCCATCCAAACATTCGCAAGTATTAGTACGAAGTAAGATTAGTTTTAGCTTAAACAGTGACCTGTATAAAAAGGTAGGTATCTCAGTTTTTGATAATGAGAAATACGACGATATGTTTTTAAATGCGTTTTTATGCAATGAAAACGCACGGTTATATTGACCTGAACTTCTCCATGTGATCAATAAAGCTGAAGTTGGAAGTGTGTGTACTCGATATTCATATTTATTGCGTTTAGTAGAATATTATTAAATAACTTGAAATATTATTCGTTTAATATTGAATTTTTCAATACAGTATCGTACAATTGCAATATAGAAATATTTGCTATACTTCAATGTATATTGCATACTTTTTAAAAGATTGATTTAGGCGTGTTGTATATTTTTTTGTATGTAATTTTTATAATAAACCCCTAAAGCCTAGATGACTGAAAACATTTTGACGAGTGAGGTGTCATTTTGTTCATTCTACCCCGGAGTGTCATTTGTTGCATACGAACGGATAGTCATTATGTCTTGCATACGAAGCTTTGCTTTTTCCGCAATGCAATCCACATCTTGAATTCTATTTAAAAAGAGAATGTTTTGTAGAAAATTTTACGTTACTATGAACATTTAATTCGTTTTATGATAAAACTATATTTATTTATTTATTTACACAATTTGCATTTTTCGGGCGTTGTGGCATTTAATTATCTCATAACAAAATCCTTAGACAAACATATTATACAACAATAAAAAAAAACACAAATAAAAAACACTAACATAATGTTCTTATTAGGTTTTAGTTGAAGGATATATTTAATATTTTTAATTTCGAAAGTATTTCAACTTATATGAATACATAGCATTATAACGTTTGCTTTGATCCCTACTATGATATATCAACTACTGTGACATGATTGGTTTACAAAATATTATAACAATGGAGTCTAAAGTATGAAGTACACATAGAGTAGCTATAGTTATAGAAGCGATACAAAGAAAGAAATCGCCAGTGGTGGGTTATCTGTCGGGCGTCCCGGAGTCTTTACAACGACGTTCATACAATCTGTTGATATGTAGTTTCTTATTGTGTCTTGTGTTAAACTTCAATGTGTTAATAAAAGTGTATGTAAGTACATTTTTTATCACGTGTGTTGTCTTCTTCATAATAATCAATTCAATTATTGCCCAATAGGGCAATATCAAACACTTATACACGTTGTAAATAACACGAAGAAAATAACAGAAAACAAGCATTAATTTTATAGCATGGAGATTCATTGTAGTCGTCGACATTGCGCGCAAATTTGTCTATCCATCCAACTTCAACATAATAGGCGGAATGCCACACGAACGTGGAAGAGAATGTCTAAAGTTTTAACTATGTGTTGAACGGATCATCGTTTTATTGCCGATCGATATCCATTAGTATTCGAACCCACTTTTTCATCTCACGATTTTGCAAACAATGATCTTAGAGCAAGCGAATTATCTTGATTATTTGCAACATTTTGCTCTTTGTATTCGAATGCATGCAACAACGTCAAAAACATTTCTCTTAAATTAAGTAGTTATTACAAAACAATATTAAGTAATACTAATTGTATTATAGTAACGTTAGCTAGACAAAGATAAATAAGATGTATAATAGTAACTCATAATCCACATTTAGCTTTTACGATTTATGCATGATCGTTTCAAAGATTTAGTGGCTGTTAAAACCATTTTTGGGTGAATTTATGAAGCAATTATGTGATATAACATTTAGTCGCCACGCCTTTTAACGTACTACCTACTTTACGAGTATTTAATGTATACTGCTAAAAATAATATTGCAGAAGATTTTAGAGAAATTAGGTAAAAGGCCAATAGATTGATCTTTAATTGAGTCTAGGCTCATTCATGTTACAGGGGTGCTTAACCTTTTCTTATTGTTAAAACCCTTTGAATTTCAAATTTGATATTTTAATACTGTTGTATTCACTGACAATGTTTTCGTTGCCAACATGAATTATAATTAGTCAGTGTTCTATAATCATGTTATGATTATAGAACACAGATATTTATAGAAATACGGTAGATAGGTTTGTTATTTGGAAATGACAGCTATTCTCTCGCTCTCAATTAAACGTCAATTTAATTTACTAGTCTGCTAATTATATCTCTTAGTTCGAGTTACAATCAGTGCTACCAACTCCTAAAATATGCGCTAAAATGGCGAGAATTAAATAGGTTAAAAGTTTCGCCTGTCCAGTGGAAAAGACAGTTAAAGATTGACGGGATTGATGGTGATTTTGACAATGTGTTATAATTACAATATTATACTTTTCTTTTATAACTGTTTTTTTTTATGATTTTATCTAGACATGGAAAAGAACTTTAATTAGATTGTGGTTTGAGTAAAATGCCTTAGCTCTGACCTCTTAAATTGCATGAATATTTCCTTTGTTCTGAACAGCATTTTTAAGCATCTTTGTTAGCCACATTAAAGACTTTGTTATGAATAAAATATGAATTTAGTTTTCTTTCGATATCGAGCATTAATTTGCGTAAAACATGAACGTTTGTTTGCATACGCACAGACTTTTTATCTGGGAACAAATAATACATTGCAAATAAGACTTGTCTGGTCTCATTTATCTTTGTGTACTTTTGCTTTTATTATTCGTATAACGAATCAATAATGGGAAACATGTAGTAAGTAATTGGAAAATTAATTAACCATAATGACTATTATATTATGAATTTATCTTTATATATATATAATTCTTCTGTGAGTGTGTATGTCACTGAACTTCTCTCAAACGACTGGACCGATTTTGATGAAATTTTTTGTGTGTGTTCAAGGGGATCTGGAAAGGTTTAGATTCAAAATGTTCATCAAATATTAACTTCAGATTAATTTATTCAAATTAAAGACGTGTAGACAGGACAACGTCTGTCGGGTCCGCTAGTATATGATATATAATTCATATAACATGAAGGAGAATGCCATCCAAATGACACCTGACATTTCAAAATCGGTCAAGTATTTTAAGCAGCAGAAACAGCTAGTAGGACTAATGTGTTGGAACATTCATTCAAGCTTGAGTTTTCACTGCATTGAAACACACAATACACTATCATCGCAATAATTTTCTTTGAATAAAGGTAAGAGTGAGCAACGCCGACACTATTTAAGTTCCTCATGTACTCGATATAACATTTTTGTATGCCACATTAGGATTTTTAATTATTATGTTACCAAATTTTCTATTTTTCGACAATTTTTTCGAAAATTTACAAAATGAAATGTTTTGAAAGTTTATTCTTAGTTTTAACATTTTATCGTACAAGTACTGAAGGCATCATGATTGGAGAGGTAGCATATGCAAAATAAATAACACTACGCCATCTTTTTAAAAAAAATTAAAGCAATATACTTAGAATAGTTTTGAAATATTAGTTATATACAATAATTTGGAGCCCCTTCTGATGGAACTGTTACTAGACAAATGACGCGTTGATTGTAATTCATCAATACTAAATGACCATTTCCACTGACCGAGAGATTCAAAGCTCTGTCAATGTCGTTATGTCATCACTAATTACAAAGCATTTTACCTGCATATCTTGCACAAGGCTTCTCTTACAGTAATGTTTAGAAATAGAATATTCTTTATAGTAAAAGGTAACTAACGAGTCAGCGGCTACTTTATTTCGCAAAAATAGCGAAGTGACCTCTGCACGTAGATATCTCCAAGCTAAGAATTTCCAGATATGTAGGCAACATAACCTTTGAATTCTTTTTTTAAACAGAAATAAAAATTAAATCACATCCGATTCATATATTTTTGCCTTCGTTACTTATCTCCCTCAGCTGTCTGCTCGCGATGTTCTTGTTTCGTAGTTTTGCTTGTACCAGACAGCAATTCACTTTTATTCAATATAAATAAAATAATGTTAACAAAGCGCTATAAAAATATTTTTCATTTCTTAAATCTTTCCATAATATTTTTTTATCTATTTCCATCTTACTTTATATTTTTCGATGCACTTTTCTTGCAGTTTTAATAACGTTTTTAATTTATTAAATTGTATTAAGTAATTGAAGTCTCAAACTTTAATCTTACTTTTCATAAAAAGGTCGTGAATGTTTCTATTTAATGATAAACTTTATAATTGCTCCTGTGTCTTTTTTATCATCATCAGCTTACTATACATACGTTCCTACTGAGGGGCTCGGATCCTAAGTTGGGGGTAACCATGCTGGCCCATTTCGGGTTGGTTGTTTTCACACATACCTTTGAATTTCTTCACAGATATGTGCATATTCCATCTTGATGTTTTCCTTTACCGCAAAAACTTTTTTTATACACATTTAATAGAAATTCTATAAGAACGTATTGTAACTTTTAATATAGCTAAAAATAATACTCGTATTTGTATATTGTTGTTAAAGCGCAACAGTTTTAATGTATTGTTTAAAATAGTTAGTTGAATATCTACTATAATAGTTTTTTTTATTAAGAATTTAAATCGCAGTGTATGATAGTGTGGGGAAGGCGAGCCGCAGCCAGTACGGCAAAGTCTCTCGTAGGAATCGCCGTTTGCTACAACTAGCCAGGTTATCGGAAACTTTGTGATTGAGTGAAATTGTTACGTCTTTTCCTCGAACTACAGGAGTGTGTTAATCTATTAATAATGCTTTAAATGTCACTCGATCGATGGGAGTATATTGTAAGTAGAAATCATTTTTTTTTTAAATATTTTTAATTGTCTTTTTTTCACGTTCAGTTTCCAAATCCAGTTTATTAAGGATGTATTTTTTTTTTCATTTGAGTCCTTTTCCATTAATATATACTCATCAAGAATGACTAGCGGAAAAGACTGTTTATATAAACTATAACACTACTGGAGTAGATTTAATATTTAAAAAATATAGCTTATTTTTATTATCATAGGAAGTGTCAAAAAGAAGGAAAAAGGCATATGATTTCAGATAGTTAATTTATTAATATCTATGTGAAATATTATGATTTAACTAATAATATAAATGAGAAAGTTCGTATGGATAGATGGATGATCGTTGCCACGTAACTTCAAAACTGTTGAACGGAATGCATACGCTACTACGTTTTTTTCATTCCAATTCCGTTCTATGTTTGTTATTAATCAACTTTAATCGCTTATCGCACGAGCGCTTTTTTAACGCCGCGTTCAACCTCGGAGTTGGCGGCCTTTGAGTGACGTTTTAAAATCATACTTATTTCGTTCGTCTAGGACTCAAATTGCAACAATATGCAATTAAAGTCATCGCATTTTAAAAGCGCCGCCGTATGAAATGTATTTCTTCAATTCAACGCTTTTTTTTGCGCGGTAAAAAAGCGCTTGTGTGAATGAAGGGAAAACGCTTATACTCATCGGGCTAGTAGTAAGAACAAATATAGTACACAGCCTGGAATAGCGTATAGACTGTTTTCAACGGTTTCTTTAAGATTAACTCAATAATTCCGCGATGTAATAAATGTTTCCTCAATTTAGTTATTTTTTATGACGATTGTATAGTTTAGACCACTAAAAACAACGGAACTGATGTTAATAATGAATAACGTTTTTATTTAAAAAAATACTATATATTTTAAGAAGGTTGTGTTTTCATGTTTTATAAATGTTATTTGAAGTTTATAAACAATGTACCCTAATTAGCTTACGTTGTCAAGTTGTATAAATAAAGGTACACGACGCTTGTTTACCTTTCTTACCGCGCCTACTTTTTTGTGTGTTCATTACTCCAATATTTTTAGTATCAATTTGTGAAATGATTAATCTTTCTTAAGGCGATTCGCCTAAGCTTTTGTGTAAATTGATGGAAAATATATTATTGTATTGATATATTCAAACACAGGCTGTTGTTGAATGGTAAATTAAAAAATAATAATTTATGAGTAAATAGACAAATCATATTTTAATTTTATGGGTTTATGATAAAAAATACAACAAGACTATCATGATTTTACTCGATAGAGCTGAATTGAAATTTTTCTTGAAGTCTAGAAAAAATAATGATTCAAATCTCACTACTAGCTTTTGTTTAACTTTTACTAAAATATGCTTTTGTTTCTACGACAGATGTTCAATAGAACCTCACCTCAGATATGAATTTGTTGACATGAGCTTGTCAGATCGGGGTTGACATAGCTCTTCAAATGTGGTATTCAGTCATGTAGAAATGTAACGTAAGCCACTTGTTCTATCCGCTTTCGATGCAATCTGATGTTTCCTCATCGTAGAATTTGAAACCCGTGATTTGTAGCAATACATATTTTAGTCTCTGTCATATCAAAGAGAACAAAAGGGATGGCGATAGATACATACCGTAGTGTAGTTACATATTCTATACTATAAAATATTCAAATAATATTTTATTACTACAAAATATACAGTTAGACTTTGTTAAGTTAAACACGTGTTTTAACCCTTTGGCAGCCGGTGATTAATATTATACAAATCAACGTGGTTATAAAAGAGAATGTTGTACCCTTAAATATGTATTTCTAAAATAGATACCGGTATAAGAATTTCTTTCAGCATTTCACAATTGTTTGTTTTCTTGAGTAAATATCATTTACTGCTGAAACAAGTAATAATTTATTATGTCCTCTTTTAAAATCAGTGTACATTTTCATAAAATTACCTCCAGTGTGTTATCAATGCTAACAAAAGATAATGAGTATTTGCTAGAAACATTTTGTCAATACATTCGTTTATAACGTGCCCAAAACGTGAGCATTCGAGTAATAATCATAAGCCATTTTTAGAATTTATGGCGGACCGACTGGTTGCTACGGCTGGAGCATGTCTAAAAATAAATTAAAACAAACATTTTAACAAATGTAGGAGAAATGTGCGAGCTGTTCTGAACGCATTCAACTAACACGTTCATCGCACGTGGCTATGGTTTACGAAATGTCATTAACTGCCGAGAATTACACCTAAAATTTAACTCATCCGGGACAATATATTTGAATATACAATATACACTGCTATACAATGTTTGGACATTGTACGTTGTCTTTTACTGATGAAAAAGTGTTCAAAAACAATAGTTAATTAAACAAATCAATTGAAGATAGTAGACTCTACGACCCCGGGGAAGAGATTGAATTGCATAACATTTTACTCTTTAAAATTATTTGAGTTTTTAGAATGATTCTACCAGAACGGAACATAATAGTAGTTACCTGCGATTTTGGCATCAGGGGATTTAAAAAGATCTAGTAATAAATATAGCTTATGTCACCCGAGCATAGTGTAGCATCACAACGGTGAAAGAATTTTTCTAATCCGCTCAGTACTTTTGGAGCCTATTCAATGCAAACAAAAAATTAAATATTTCCACTTTAGTATAGATAATACTTATATATCTACGGTTACGCGATTTCTAGATAACGCGATTAGAAAAGTTCAAACACAAATATATATTGGAAAATTTACAAGATCCCTCACTTAACAAATACATTTGAACAGTCTTAGGCGCAGTTATCTATTCTCAGATCGCTTAAATTAACGCTACGCGTTTTCGGATTCGTTTTTTGTGCTTGGCTCAGACTGCGTAAGGCATTATCGCGACGGAAACTTTGAATTATATTTAGGTTGCTCTGTCATGATTGCTTTAGTTTTCATAATCTTACTAATATAAATGCGAAAATTTAAATAGCTAGATGGATGTTAAAAGGTATATCTCTGAAACGGTTCAACGGATCTTGATGAAGTTTGGCACAGATGTAGAGTACATAGGTAACTAATTAAGGTTTTTTTTTAATCCACGTAGACGGAATCTAATATAATTTAGCAGAGTTATTTAAGTGAAGGTTTGTTTTGATTAATTCATTACGCAAGTGCTACCGTTCCTTGTTATTCAATAATCTCGTATGCCTACGTAACATGTTGACAATGGAGCGTGAGACAATCCCACAAGTGTTCAGTTCTCTCATGTTATCCTGTCGTATTCATAACATTATTGTCTCCGAAGCTACTTCAAAGCACGTACAGAAATTATACGCCACATTACGTAATGCACATAAATTCCATGCTATTATTATATTAAAAACTAGCTGTCGCCAGCGACTCCGTTTGCGAGTAATTAAAAAAAAATATGATTTGTAGCCTATGTAATCTTCCAGACTATGTTCTACATTCTTGCCAAATTTCATTGAGATCCATTCAGCCGTTCTGGAGATATCTTCAAACAAACATCCATCCATCCATATAAACATTCGCATTTATAATATTAGTAAGAAGTAAGATTTCGAATATCATTTTTTATTACAATTATTACAATACGTACATTTTAATATCGTCCATAAGGTAAAATGTCATAAACGAGTAAGCGGCCACCGTAATTCGAATTTGCATAGTTTCCTGAAAAGCTATGTTTTATTTAAGATAAGGCTGGGTAGGTTTAAAGGAAAGTTGTAATTATAAGTCTTTGTAATAGAGCTTAAAGTTTCATTTAAGCATTTATTAGCCAAGCACCAGTTAAGTATTTAGTATCGCATAAATTTTAATTAAATTTACCGTAAAACTTTTATCGTTTATTCATCGTTAAGTTGAGAATAACCTTCGATAACACGATTTTTTGTTCAATTTCACCTAGAATATCTTGTCACTTCACGGAACAAAAAACTTCAAAAAATAATTAATTAAAAGTTCTGGCAACATTTTTATTAAAATTAGTGAAATACGTAATAAATTTTAGACAGTTACTTATACTATAAAGTAAAAATTGATCGTCGATTGAAATAATTATCTACTTTTGGTGGTGAATTGTCTAACAGTCTAGTAAATTTTAATAAAGCGGTGGCAGACAATTTCAAACAACGACTTCCTGCTAAGCTTTGTCAGGGTATTTAATTAAAGTAACTAGAGGCTATGAAGTATCAACTTATATTTCAACGCTGTCTTTTATTTGAAAAAAATTGCTTCAATTATCACTTCAATTTATCACTTAAGAATAATGCGAGAGAGAAATATAGACCTTTATTATGAATTTTTTTTGATATATTAAAGAAATGCTTAAAGCAACAAAAACGATATTAACTCAAAACATATTTTGCTTTTAAACTCAGTGAAATTTTTTGCAATGAATGACATTTTAATTTGTGTGCATTTTTTAAAGAGTTAACTGGTGATTTTGTTGTCATTTAATAGCTTAAGAAATAGAATAAATCAATTTATTTATATAAATTAAGAAAGGGTTTTATTTTTAATTATTAAAGCACAAAATTGTCATAATTTCTTTTTAATGATAAGGTTATCTCGGACTTGATTTCTAGGTAAGATAATTTGGCGTTTTTATTCGTAACAGATTTTAAAAATGTATCAATTAAATGTAGATCTAAGTACGTATTATAATAGAAAACGATAGGCTACAGAGTGTATCGCCAGTAATAGAATAGAGCGGGTCAGTACGACAATATCTTTCGCGCCGACCGCTCCATTACGCCTCTACAAGTGTGTTTTCGCGCCATTTTACGATTACAAAAATGTTTTCGCGCGCGTCTTAGTGACAATTGTTTTATTTTTAAATGAAAGGGCTGACGACTTCTAATGTAAGTAGTTTTAATTAAATATACTTCTATGAATAGCGATGAAATAGCAAAATTTTAAAGTATTACTATGGATTTGTTTATGATAAAATTAATAATTTAATATTAATTTTTCGCATATAATAAAAA